GTTCTCAATTTTTATTCATATTTTTAGACCTACCTGAATCACCGCTAATGCCTGCAATGACAGGAACGATTGAATTGGTCCCTTCTTGTCCACGCAAATGTAAATTATTCTGCATGGTTGAGGACAATTTTTCCGAATAAATGTAATCTTCCTTCTGCCATAAATCTTTTGGAGCTTGCTTACAATTTGTGCTTGTTTTCTCTTGCTGATGGAGCCCATATTGACGCTGGAAGGTGTCTTTTGGAAGGGCAAGATCATAGGACCTCCACTCCTTGCTGATGGTAGCTGGAAGGCTGGACAGAGACGTGTTATCGAGGTAGTTCTTGTAATACTTCTTAAACTTCAGATTTGATTTGCTAAAATTTTTTTGAGGTCCTTTGCGAAAAGGATGTTGATGGACCGAAAGTCGAATGCGAGACTTGAAGCAGTCTCCTGGCTGTAAAATATTTTGACTACGATCAGGAGCATCAGTGGCCAGTTTCAAAGGATGATAACATGTCTAATAAAAGTAGGTCAAAATAAAATTAGTAAAAAATAGGATTAAACTATTACACTGGATTTAGATTATAGTAAAATACTATATCTCTAGCATAGCATGATACCGTCTTCGCCATTTCCTTCTTTCTGTGGCATAAATCAAATTAAAATACGGGAGTTTGTTAGCCTCAAAGAAATAACTCTGATGAAATGAAAATATAATCGCATGCACCAAATTAATTCTCATTAAAAAGAAATAGTGCTTTGAGATATGGACACCATTTAGCACACTTAGAATGTTCTAAGATTATATCACTAGACACTTTCTTTCTTGCTTGAAATCATATGTAAAAGTGGGATACGTGGTAATAGGCAAAGGATGAGGAGCGGACATTTTAATGTCATTTCAGGACTGCAAAGTATGCATTCATTTACATCACGAAAATGAGATGTGAGCTAGCTCCTCGCTTGTCATTATGTAGAGACTTAAGGTTTGCATATGCCTGCGTAGAGTAAACAGAATATTTTTTCCTATACGCCTGGTAATTCTGATGCAGCTAACCTTTGCTTAAAAAAAATTACAAGATGAAAATCGAAAGCGGCAAACATGAAATCCTAGCAATCAGAGATATTTTTCAAGGTCCTGAAAAGCAAAAAACAGCTGTTCCAAAATGTAGAAATTTTTTTACTGGG